CGTAAAGAGACGCAGAACGCTGTATATTCTGCCATCGACAAGGTTGCAGCGGTCGCAGCGATAAAGCGAAAGCATCGTCTTTCTTCTCGCCCAGTCTCAAGTCGTCGCAGTTCCACCATCTCTGCGATTAGGGGTCTTACTATGTCAGTCAACAAGAGAATTCCTCTAAGGATCTATTCGCAACTGGTGCCTTTAACGTAGGACGTCAATTTAGGTCCCCTTCCGGCCTCCTAACGCGCTCTCTAAAATGGCCCTCTATGGTAGAAAAAGATGATTAAATTTTCATGCGATTGCTTTCGTCAGTATGACAATCACTCATTACCGTCAAGAGATGGGAACATTGAGTAACTTCGAAAATAGCTGAATTACTCGCCACTATACCCAACTCCCAAAATATAGCCATTCGCCTGTACTGAAAACATGATGTTTAATAATATTGTAAAGCGCGGCCGCGCATGACTTCACACGCAAACCTGAATACCGCTTCGTATTGGCGACATTCGATCGGCCGACAGTTGATCGATTTCAATCATGAACTTCTTACGTATCGCTGTGTTTCTTGTCCTGCTCGCAGGTAAGTAAAACTACCCATTCTGCATTGAGAATTTTCTGCCAATATGTTTTGCACGCTGACTCGAGCTGCTACGCCATACCTCCTTCTGTGATTAACCATTGAATAAAATAAATAAACAAATAAACAAATAAGTAAAAAAGCGTAACACTCAATGAATTCTGATTCTCTTCAACTGAGATCTCATACGAATTTTACACAGTTAGTAATAGCTTGCCCAAAAACTCGTTTTCAAATGTAAGGATTATTTTCCCGGTTATAAGTAAAATTACCAACTACGGAAGTGAGCCTTCCGTTACTATCAATCGTAGTGGGTCGGAATGAGTACAGAAAATAAAGCCAAAGCCATCAGGTTATTCATCTATTCCATTTCCAGTGTTCTGAGTCGAAATCGGGTGTCGTGACGCACTTCAAAACTGAGCAATTTGAACTCAGAAACAAGCTATAGTTCCTTGATTTCAGTTTTCATTTGCCGTATCAATTGTTGATGTTTATGGCGACAAGCGGTTACAGTACACAACGAAAATCATACCTTCTAGAATAAAATAGAAGATAAAGGAATATTGAAGTGCACTTGAATGGACTGTTCCTGTTCTATTCACTATGTTCCCTATACAATTCAAGTCTGTTTCTTTA